ATATATATATATATATATATATATATATATACCCTTATATTAGTTTGTGCAGTGCGGTGGTCTCTTGCTTTATCGCGACGGGGGCCATGAAATTATCTCAGTGGAGCGCTGGTTAAACCGATTAGGCGTTGGACACGGAACGGCGTGCGTAAGGGTTACGTTTCAAAGATGTGCACGTCGTTGAAGCGACGCGTCCGTTGTTTATCCGAACCCCGGATCAAGCGGAGACCACTGTATTAACGCTTTCGTCACCGCATATGTGTGGGATGTGCGTACGTGCGTACGTGCGTCAGTCGTCCTCATCTAGCGTAGCGCTCTTATAACGCGCGCACGTTGTCACGTCGTACGGGATTCGGGAAATACGAGATTCAAATGCCAAAAATAATTACTAACCGCTGGTAGACTGCCAGGTAATCAGACGGGACGTTAACTAATCAGGGGATCCGGACCCCCCCTTCCTGCTCGCGCAGAAAACGCATCTAAGGGGGTCTAATTTCAAAAAATTTGTGGGGGAGGGCCCCCCAGACCCCCCCTTTGCGTGCTCGCAAGTTTGGGTCATAGTTAGACCCCCCCTGGTACAAATCCTGTACACGCCCCTCCTCCCTGCTGTATCTTTTATTCGTGTTGTTTGGCATATGTTAGCCATGCTTGCTGTACATGCTGGCTCTCGTGATATAGAACCGCCTTATTATAGAAACACGATCACACTCTCATTTGGATTAGTTTAAAAACCCGTGAATTTAATACTATGATAGGTGTGTGAAATTATTATCTGTGTTTTTTTAATTTGTGCTATTTGCTAAAATTATAACAATAATGCACTCCATCGTCATTTAGTAATAACTATTAACTAGTATTAACCAAAATTGACCACTCGTGAATTACAGTAAAAATCAATACATTTTCTACGTTTTCTTTTGTAGTGTTCCTAGTGCATGGTTGGGTAATAATGTAGGGTTTTTATTGAGTTTTGACCCATCCACATGGTCCTAATGAACACACTGAGGATTTTTAATACGCTTCGATGAAATTATATAACTAATAATGTGATTACACGCTGAATAATGACGTATGGCCACTATTAATTCAAATATTTTGGGAAGTAGAGTAATAGGGGAGGGGTACAGAGCAATCGTATTTGTAGATTTCTGCATTTATATAGATTATGCATGAATCGATAGCTACGTGTTACCGCGCATTGCCTGATGTATATATTGCTTCGTATACTACATCGCACAAGCACTCCCTAATGCAAAATTGAAAATTTGAAATTTACTATCGATTACCACGATGGATAGTATGAATATATATGTAACCCAAAAAATTAATAGAAAGACAGACAGAAACCTTAGCGGACGTGTCGCTGTCAGCTATAATGATAAATGAAGGGCTCTGACTAGCTCTGACCGCCCTTTGGCGCCACCTGGTGTCATCAAAGTCACTCCAGTTGTGTGCCACTAAGCTTCAGCGGAAGAAAAGAAGCTTGCCATGATGGCATAGCCCAATGGTATTGTCCACCCTCTCTATATCAAGGGGATTGTCAAGGATAGTGGGGTGTCCGTTTCCTTTATGGTGAGTGGCTATATACTAGGCGTAACAAAGGTTAGAAGATTTTGTAAATACCGGGTAAATACTAGGTAACTCTATACGTCACTATGTGCAACGTCTTTGGTGAGCAGCTTGTCACAGATAGAATTTTTCTGCTATGAGTGTCAACAAACTGCTCATAAAACGGCCGGGCAATTTAACGGCAAAGATCGCGAACCCTCGGCAGCATGGGCGCTAGTAGCTCTAGTACTACATCCACATGGCCTGTCACGAACAAGGGCTACAATACTAGAGCTAGGGCGCTAGTTGCTTCTCACCTCGCTTGTATCGCCGTTTGCAAACAGAAAAAAAGCGCCGTCGTGCATGCGCAGTTGGTTCATCACAGTAACCGTGGTAACGTGTAATATTATACATGTAACGGAGTTGACGACGTTTTTTACAGGCCGTATTTTCATTAGAGCAACGTTCGCTGAATTCAGTTTCATCTCTATGTATAGGCAGATCTATATGTAGGCAAAAAACGCAGGGAATAATTCAGTGTGCAACGCACCGAAAATGTCGTGCAATATATAGAAAATCCTGCGGCGCGCGGTTGGACTCGCCACTACCTCATTTATAGTTTAGAATCAAATGCCATTTTTGTGTGCAGTACAGTAGAGGTTACAGCCTATGCGGGAGTTTCGTTATGATAACCACACTAGTGTCCTGTGGTTGTATAGACAGTCGCTTTGCTGTGACGGCAACGTGTGTGGCGGCCATACTTCTCCAGCCACGCGATCAGCGCATCGCATTTTCTTCTCGATTTCAGCTTGGCATGGCCCCATGGAGTGAACATGTAGGCCCCCTACCTCACTATACATTACAGCTGACAGAAACTGTCCACTAGCCCTGCTGTCTTTACTGGCATATACGCGTGACAATTCATCTATAGGGAATAGTAAATAAATTTTGCACAGATCGACTCGGTTTTAACATGAACCTATCTAAACACTATATAGATATGTGTTCATGGATGCATCTTCAGTGTAACGGATCTAAGGACACGCATATACGCTACACCACCAGACTCGTGAAACTGAAAATGTCACGGCGCTTTTATTTTATGTAGAAACGAGCTTGTCTCGTTGTCATAGAGATAGCTATAGATGCATATCGCATTTCCGTTATTGCACTGCAATCTGAGAATGCCACGAATGCGCATTTACACACCCAAAATTGAGCGCATTGTGAACTTGCAGTACGTGCTACAGAGATATGTACATATTTTGTAGATTTATTTTTCTGCACTGTTGGTTATAATCGTCAATGTGTCACAGAAAAATGAAGGCATTCCACGTTCCAATTGTTTCAGGTCTCTTAGAAGTACCAGGTATGAAAGCACTCGTGTTTATTTCGTCTAGTTAGCGCCAACTATCATTACTGCTATCGAGTACCTATCCAACGTCAAGTTAGATATATACTTGCTACTGTCTAATGCTAGCTGTGCGGCTTATACGCTCTTCTCTATATAGCTCTCTGAACGCACTGCTTGTACCTTTGCCAACACTTTATTAAATCCATGTAGTATATCAGCAAAACCCTCAGCATATTGCTAACTAACCCTGTAGAAATGCATGTTTTGTGCCTGTCTTTTTGCATGCCTGTTGCTTTCAGTATTCCCCTCAATGCTAATAATAATATTAATAACTATCATATGATATCATGTGCCCACTTTTAGCCATTAATGCAATTAATATACCTAAACAAATTATGTAAAATTCTAATTTGTCTAAATTTAGTCGAAGGTGGGTAAAAATTGTACAAACGCTTTGCTTCGCATACATGAAAAAAATAGTATTGACCAAAAAGTAGTAAGCTTCTTGCTATTATCAGTATGATGACATTCGCTGTCGAGAAAGCTGTAGCTAATATCTAATTATACTTGCTGCTAAAATCTGAAAGACAGTTGCTTTAAAAGTATAGTAACGTTCGCCTTGTAAACTGACGAAAATTTGGCAATTCTAATATGGTAATAATTAGGTATTTATAACGCGATACCTATAAGACCTTCCGTGGAAACTATGAAAACTGCCATTAAAGTTACCACTATAATGGAAGTAGACTTTCCCGTTAAACAGATAAACCATAGTATCGAAATTTTACCCTGTAGTAAATTCTTCGTACTGCTGTTGCTCTTGCTATGTATGTAAATAAATGTGTCGTCAATTCTCTCTGTTTTGACTTTAACATTTTTTCCATATATGTGTCTGTATGTATGTGAGTATTTTCATTAATATCATTTGATAAAAATGATTTCCAAGCAAATCGACGATAATTTTTTAATACAATCATTCATGATGTTCTGATAATTTGTTATAATGATCGTGTTCCCTTATTTTGACATTAATCTGATCATTAATTAATTTGTGAGTTGGTATATATATAAGCAATGTTAGTTCACGTATGTGCCATGTGTTCGCGTGATCGCAAACGTGTTTGGTGACACACTCCACGTCATCGTAGGAATGAAATCGACAGAAAATTTTGATGGACACAGCTTGACCTCAGCAATGACTTACATCACCGAAAACTCCACTATCGTCATCGAAACCACCGAGAAGGACAAATCACATAAGTAGGTGCTTTCGTGCGTACTCATGCAGCCACGTTCACGTGAATACGTACATCCACCCACATTACACCCGCTCGTGATCACCAACGTGCATACACGCACTCATGCACGCGTAAATGGTGGACGATAGAATCGCACGAGAATCCAATATATATATACACATATATATATTTGTGTGTCTGTGTGTGTGTGTGTGTGTGCGCGCGCGCGTGCGCGCGTGCGTGCGTGCGTGCGTGCGTGCGTGCGTGTGTGTGCCCCGTGCGATTCTGTGTAGGTTTCTACACGCAAATCAGATCCCATTAGCATAGTTTTCGCGTGATGACATACGCAAACATATCCTTATCCTCGTGCGTGCGTGCGCGTCTTGCCGAGCGCGTAACAGGCAGGCTGTGTCTTCTGTAGGACTAATGTCTGTCAAGCACGGATTTATTCACAGAGCCGCAGTCCGCCTCTCATCTCTACGTTGGACTTGCCATTTACGTGCGCGCGCGCTTCAAGATGGGTGATTAATATCCCAACGCGGCCGTGATTCAATGTGACAAGGATGCAACGAGCGCATCTCGAACTGTAATCACTAGGTAGCGTCATAAGCTTATAATTATATCCCGACTAGCGCGTATTTAGCCCGAGATATCGTGTAGATACTGCAAAGCTTTAGCGAGCGCCTGACCTTGATTGGTTTGATGTAGGATCAAATTTGCAGTCTGTATCGGGTATTAGTCTATGGTAGCGTTTCCCGAGCGTGAAATTGACAACTTCACGTTTCGTTTGCTCGCGCGGGAAGTCGCCGCGTTTTTAATGGCGACACCTGCCGGTCGTTGCAGGTACTATCTGATTCCGAACTGCATAGCGAAGGAGGGCCTTCACAAGTTGCACATCAAGGGCACGAAGCTGCACATCTACAGCGACCACACGTTCATCGCCTCACACTTTCCGTCGTAAGTTTTAAGATTCGGACGCAAGGCGATGCGTCGCGCCCGTCTGTCGCGTTGTCGCGTCGTGTGACGCGTGTGACCGTCGTCGCCGCACCCGCGGTTGTCGCGTCGCATGCCGCTATGTGATGCGTCACGTTATTCGTGTCGAATGTTGCAGGAAATCGTCTCTGAAATGTGAATCGAATCTGAATTTTGTCGCGTGTGTTTACATTTTGCCGGCAGGCAGTGAATGTTGCCATGGAAACATCACGTAATGCCGCCGACAGTGTTGCTGCGTATTTGACAGTGTGACGCATGAAGTGGTTTGAAAATGTCATTCTTAATGTTTTTCGTCATCGTTTCGCGGGTATTTCGCAGTGTACATCTTTTTTTGCATCCACCATAATTTTGATTTTATGTGACGTGTGTGAATCATTTTATTCTTTCAGAACTACAGCGTGCCAGATTTGCTCCAAGAGCATCCCGAGAAGAATAGGTCGACAGGGCTACATGTGCAGAGGTTAGCTGAAATCTCATGATATAGAATGCAGCAACAGTTATTCTCTGCATTTCACCCTGTTATGGTTTAACTGAAGTTACGCAGAAGTGTACCGTGTATTACAATGGATTCATTCATACCCTCTGGATAGTTTTTTTAATATATATACTGCGTTTGGACCCGAAATGCTCAGTATTACTATCATATTACTGAAGTTTAAGTATTGAGAGTTAGCTTAATTTTAGTGTAGGTTTAATTTATCTATTGAACTTCTCTGTGAAACTGAGATTGTTCATATTACTGAAGTTTAAGTATTCAGAGTTAGCTTAATTTTAGTGTAGGTTTAATTTATCTATTGAACTTCTCTGTGAAACTGTGATGTTGCGTCACTGCATTCATCTTCGGCTGCAGACTGTAAGATCGTGTGCCATAAACACTGCCACCATAAGTGCGATACAGAGTGTCCCACCTCGCAAGTCTCAAAGATGAAATGTGAGTATGAGAACAGTCATGTTTTACAAACCCCAATCGGCAATCATCATATATTTGTTCTTTGACTTCTGTATATATATATATATGATGTGTCCGCTTATTAAAAGTTCAGATTTCTTTTATTTTACTAAGCAGTTTTTTTTCTAATTTTTGATACACGTACCACATCACGTTTAAGCTACTTCTTGCCGTTTGAAAGCTGCTAGTTTAAGACAAATGACGTTGAACACAATTATGTAAGGAAAAAAAAAAAAAAAATTAAAATAAAAATGAAAGAAAAAAAAAATAATGAAAAGATGCGTTACATTCCATGCTCCCTGCACACAGGATTTACGTAGAGGACAGCCAGAAGCAAGAAGTCAGATAAAGGAAATCGTGAAGAGGAGGATAAACGCAAGAAGGAAGCTGAAAAGCTCCAGAAGATGCTGAGAACAGGCATTAATCGATAAAAAGAGGCAGAGAAAAAGGCAGCTCATGAGAAAAAGGAAGCAGAAAAAGAAGCAGCTAGAGTCGCAAAGGAAAAAGAGAAGACTGAGAAGGAGGCAGCAAAAGAAAGAGCAAAGTAAATGCTCAGTAGAACATTCAACATTTGTTACACATCTCTCTCCCATCTCTCTCTGTCTCTCTCTGTCTCTCTCTTGTCTGCTCTCTCTCTCTCTCTGCTCTGCTCTCTCATCTCTCTCTCATCTGCTCTCTCTCTCTCTCTCTGCTCTCTCTCTCTCTCTCTGCTCTCTCTCCTCTCTCTCTCTCTCTCTCATCTTCTCTCTGCTTTCTTCTGCTCTCTCTGCTCTCTCTCTCTCTCTCTCTCTCTCTCTTCTCTCTCTCTCTCTATATATATATATATATATATATATATATATAGCTATGTGCATATGTTAGTGCATCAATATATTGAGCATATGCCTATCATATAGTTATACAATTTGTCCCCCCCCCCTTGCGTGAATTTACAGTTGGAAACATTCGCAGAAAATACCACGCTATAAAGGCAAGCATCATACTGCGGCTCCCACGAGAATTTTCCATGTTTGTTTGTTTTTCAGAATAGAGAAGGACGTGGAAAAAAAGAATAAAGAAGAAGAGAAAAAAACCAAGAGCAAGAAACCTGAAGCAAGCTGAATGCGAGTGGCTTAATGTTTAGGCCATTTGTAAACTTTTAATCGTCATACTTGTTATTCATTTTCTATTGTTGTATGAAGAAATGTAACGATGCAGATAATCTGAACAGGTGCTGCATGATCTAACGTAACATACAAATATCTCTGTGCCTATAAATTAGCCGATAAAGACATATGAGAATTGCTAAATCGACAACCTCTTATAATAGGTGAACATGAACGTGTGTACGATATAAGGGGTTCCTAACTACATAGGCACATCCTAATTTCAGCATGGTCGTGGAATGATTGTGGAAATTATTCAGAATGGAAATTTCTACAGTTGAATGTTGAGATTAACTGCATCGTTGATAAAACACATCAGTATCGTGCATTTCCATTTTTTGCGATATTTCTCGCTTTCCTGATACCTCGACTGGCAATGCATGACCTGAACTCTAGGCTTATATCTGTTGATTGGTTCCTACGTACCCCTATTTGTAAACCTCTGTGGTTCTTGTGCACGCGCGCGCGTGTGTGTGTATGTACGCGCGTGTGAGCGTGTGTGCGTGTGTGCGTGGGCACAACCATGTTTATGCACCCGTGTGCTTGCGTGCCCACGTGCGTGCGTCCGTCCGCGCGTGTGTTGTATGCGTGCGTGCGTGCCCACGTGCGTGCGTCCGTCCGCGTGTGTGTTGTATGCGTGCGTGCGTCCGTCCGTGCGTGCGTCCGTCCGCGCGTTTGTTGTATGCGTGCGTGCGTGCCCACGTGCGTGCGTCCGTCCGCGTGTGTGTTGTATGCATGCGTGTGTGCCCACGTGCGTGCGTCCGTCCGTGCGTGTGTTGTATGTGTGCGTGAGTGCGTGATCGCAGAATGAGAAAGCCCTGCTCGGCGCTACAACATCACCTCGGCTCCCTGCTGTCAATTCTGGCGTGTGCGTATAAGTAGAGAATCTACGCGACTCGAATCTACTCGTCTCTAACACACACGCTGACAACGACTTCATCGGCAGTCAATTCCCGACCGACTGCGCACGGCGTCGCCGTCCACAGACATTACTCCACGTGTACCAGTAGCGATCGTGGAGCCAGGAAATCACACACAGGCAAGCGAATCAGCAAGGTGTCATCGTCGTCACGGGTGGTTGACAGACCGCCTGATCCAACACTCGTATACTCCCTCAGGGACGGTTAGTGAACGCCACCGCTGTTCGAGCCCACTACCATCTCCGATTCCGTTTGGACAGCTGTCCATTAAGGCTGAAGTGCTCAGATGTTTCGGGATTCGATTAATGAAAGCAAGTGCCTGCGGTCTTTCGACGTGACTTTATCGTAAATTGGTTGTTGGTCAATTCAAGTAGTGTCGATCTTTTTTGTCCCTAGTAAAACTGGCAGTTTATATGATGCGGTGGATAGCATGCAGACACGCACGAGGAAATGGCGGCTTTCTATTTGTGGGTATATGAACTGACTTCGTGCTGATCGTACTGTGGTGCTTTTTGCCGAGTAGAAAATACGTGGTGTGTGTGTGTGTGTGACCAAACGGAGCCGCGGTATGTCTGTGTGTAAATGTTGCCATCGTGGCCACCAGGTGGCACTGCATGACGATCATCGACATTTCAAGTTGTGATAGACGGAGAATGGTTTGCGTGAATTGAAAAAAAAGGTTAAGATAACAAACACATAAAATTAAAGGAGAGAACATTTTCATTGGATAGTAGCTTTTGATAAATATTGGTAAACAAGGAACAAACAACCGTGCGAAGATCGTAGCGAAGTGTTTTACCGTTTAGCTTTTTTACATGTACTAAAATGATGCAGTTGTGTTTGTTGGTGGGAATATTACGTTTTAGGTGCTATAATAATATGGTTTGCTTGCTTGGAAATTTGTTCTGTTAATACATGTTAACTCGTGATCATTGTGGAAACTTTCGATGACATGATTCAGTTGTCTCTCGAGGTCGTTTTTAGAAGAAATGCGCTGTTTTAAATTTGATTGTAATCGGGATATTTGTTTTTAGTTTGACGTACATGGGAACGTCGGTGTTGTATAGAACCCAATGTTTGTAGTAAATCTAGGTTGCAGAAGCTGTTTTAGTCTAAATCATGAGAAAAATGGGTGAGCACGCGGTTTGATTTATAGTGATCATGTAGTATGATCTGTAGATTTAATATGATGATCGAAACATTGCCACCTATATTACGATGCAGTTGCATTCGTGAAGTGGCGTCAACCAAGTAGAGAGGAAACTAGAGAAAGGTTACAGATTCGATACGAAAGGTGTTCTTTTGTGGCGTGCACAACTTCCGTCTGCAAGTAATTTTATGCCTTGTTTCGTCTAATCCGTACGTATCGTAATGCAATGTCATGAGATGAAACCAAAGTGGGAACATTTTATGATTGGAAAAATTGGCCGGCGGGAAAAGTTGCATGAACCGCAATTGGTCGTACGCCAGTAGATTTACGTATTTATTGAATCCGCATTAATTTATTTGTCATATTGAATGTAGCTGCTTCTACGTAGATGTGAATTATACAGAGTTTACAATCACTCTCGCGTGTGTGCTCTGATTCTGCTGAGGATGAACCATTATTTCTGCGACACACAAGTTGTGGTCGGAATAAAGAGCTGAAATCCTGTCCTTTCTCGCAGTAAAGTGATCGTGTTCTGCCCTCAATCACCAAGGGTAAAATAGTTAATATAATCAGGAGTGAATAATAATGGATTAATCTGTTATTATTTACTCCTGATATAATAATTGATTATTAATTAATTATTATTATATTATTCGCCCGCTCTGAGTGTGTTACTTACGGCCGAGGCAGAATGGATTATTTAAGAGCGTCGGAACATCGCCCTATCGGCAGATCGTGTTATTACACAAGTTAAACCACCCGGCAAGTGTGTGCGCGGGGGTGGAAGGAGGCGGGGACTGGCGTTTTCACGTCCGCATGCAACAAGAATCACTGTATGTGTCGCGGTGTATTGTGGGTGAATTTGCTAGAGCAACGAGCGGCGTATGTTGTGATTGTTGACTGAATCGACAATGAAAAAAAAACGGAATCGGTGTCCAAATCTCAGTTCAACGCACTCGTTACCGTGTTGCGCCTTTCGGAGATTGAGTTTGAAACAACAGTTCTTTGACCAAATGTGCCAAATGTATAAAGCGTATATATATGTATACGCTATGCGAGTCCCCCGTATAGCAACATCAGTCTGTGCAGTGAACAAATGTTATATCTAACCCACCTGTCTGTCGTGCCTCTACGGAATATATTTAATCATTAATCTACCCCGAGTGTAGTTCTATAGAATAAAATAAACATATTGTGATCTCACGTATTCAAATATTAACAAATGGTTACAGAGTCGCTCTCGAAATCTAGCTCTTGATTTCTGTTGAATGTTGGCGCGTGTTACATTTAAATTCTATGTGCGTATAGGCGTTGTTTTTGGTTCTTCAAGCCACCGTATATATATATAAATATATCTCTCTATCTTTCTTTCTATCTATCTTCTTCATAGTGGAGCCTAGGTTAGCAGCAGTTCATATGATTTCTCGTGAAATCTAGGTTCGTGGGGGGTCCCTACTGTCTACTGTCTGTCCGGTGTGTTGGATGTACATCTGATAAGTTGGCCACGACATTGCCACGCATCGTAACACGAGCTAATAATACAGTAATAGCTTATTATACATTTGCTCTTGTATTGTTTGCTCTTGATCGTAAAGGCCACCGCACACTAGAGCAATATATAGCAATCGAACTCGCGAGCAATATATTGCACTAGTGTGCGGCGGGCTTAAGTACGGCACGACATCGTCGGCCTGTGACAGTGGACAGTCGGCCGGTCCCGCCGCTATGTTAATACGTCTTCGTGCTCGGTCGAGTGCTTACGCTTCTCGCTCGATTTCCTTCCGAAGTCGTCTGCGGGCAGGTGTTTTACGTACGCTGCACTCCCGGGCCGTGATTGAGTTTTCTAGGTGTGTTTGTAACTAACTAATTTTATCGAGCTGGTTGCCGCACGAATTAACAATGATTCTGGTTATTCTGTTAATTGTAAGCCGCTGTCTCTTCCGTTGCAAAGCTGTTGTTTCGAAAATTGGGCAATAAACTCTTTCAACATAACTACGCGTGTGAAGTTGTTTCTTTGGGATGTTTTACTTTCATTGTACAGAGGGGGGAGGAGTGAGAGCGAGCTAAGAAGAGAGAGAGAGAGAGAGAGAGCTCTATTACAGAACACGTATCTTGTCGTTGGTGGTTGCGTGTTTAAAACACAAGCGCAAATGAATGATATTACAGTGCCAGTGTCGGCCCTCTCTCCTTCTTACTCTATCTCTCTTTATTTCTCTCTCGCTATCTCTTTCTCCTTCCCTCTATCTCTCTCTCTCTTTTTCTATATATATATATTATATAATCAAAGACAT